TTTCAAAATTGGGCCCAATCCAGACCTACCGGACCAGACACCGGACCCATACCCAGACAACCGGACCGTCTGGATTCCGGTCCAGATGTCCGGCCGGTTGCCATGATAATAAGCAATGTTCGATCAGCAGGAAACCACAAAAAAGTACGGCCGCTCGCCCTAGCTAGCGACCGCCGAGCTACAGGAGGATCTAATACACTGTCTGGTAACCTGCAAGTTCGCTACCGACTTATGGGTGAGAGCCTCAGCACGGTGGGACCACCTCTTCCGCTCCTCGCTTCCCGAACACCCGATCCAATTACTCCTATGGACTAACATCCCCGCTCAATTTAACAAATCTGAAATTTCGAACGCATCTGGTTCGGGACAATCAGGAAGGTGACACTGTGGGTCATTTAGAAGGAGAGGTGCAGCAGAACCATCGACAAGTCCAGCAACCGGAGGGAACAGATATGGGCAACAACGCGACTTCTGAAGGAGACGGAGATCTGATGCCAATGGAAGAAAGTCAGACTACAGATCCAACAGGACCCGGAGAATCGACGAGAGTTGGTATCAAAGTTCAGGAGAATTTGGTTGGCCCGCTTATATTCGTGGATTACAAATCAGATGGCAAGACTGGCATAATTCGGCTGCTGTCCAGGAGACGAGGAATTCCCACCGGAACGAACAGCAAGACTTCAGAGCCACCTGAGATCTTCCTGGGTTATGCCAGCTTGCCTTTCCCAGAGCCACCTCAGATCTTCCCGGCTTTTTCGTTTTTCTGACAGATTCCAACAGAGGGATCTGACAGGGGACTCAGGGAAAGGCAAGCTGGCAGTCAATCCTCCAATGCAGTGGAGTAATCAATGCTGATCAGGGACCCTTCGCCCAGACGGAAGGGTGTGTGTGTGTGTGCAGTGATGTAATTCTGTTATTTCGACTTGCCGACAATGCTGGGGGAATAGGAACCGGACTGACGCTCCCCAGAATGGATATGGAGGCAGGACCATAAGGACCTGTAAAAAAAAAAAAAAAAAAAAAAAAAAAAAAAAAAAAAGAATTTGAATTTATTTTAATTTTAATTTACTGTCATTAGTTTTCAAAGGCGTGATGATGAGGAGGGGATAGACAACTGCTATCTCTTTTAGTACTGTGTAAAGGACGACACACTTCTTATTGCTGCAAGGGGTTAAAAAAAAAATTAAAAAATTGCTGAAGGTATGGCAAAAGGAGTGATGAGGAGGAGGGGACAGGGAAAATAACTTGAAGGTGGCTCTGAAAGGACCAATTTCTCCTGCCCCCCCCCAAAAAAAAAAATTCAACGAGGGGACCAATTACGCACAGCCTTTTTTTTGTTGTACCTGAATTAAATATGGAGGATAAAAAGGGAGGTTCAGCTATTGGCAAAATGCTCGGTCTTTTGTATTAATGGGCGGCAAGGGGCAAATATGCACCCTAAACCACCAGGGCAAGGGACAAATATGCAATATCCCCTTCAGTGTGAGAGAGAGCTATGCTTGGAAGGGTCCCCTCTATGTAGCCTGAGTAGTAGTGGACCTAGTGGTAGGTAGATAGTG